ATGAGAGCGGTTAGAAACGTAGAACTGGTGGACGTTGACACTCGGGATCAAGTATGAATTGCTTGTGTATGCTTTATGCTGGGCCTTGCTCCAGTGGTCACCACACACACAAAAAATAAAAACATGGGGGTGCATCTTTCCATGTTCTGGCGGAAGATTCATTCTCATTTTGCACATTTGGTGAATAGTGGAGCGAGGCCCGTTACCTCACTTGAGTTTCCTGTCACCCAATCATCATGTTCAGCAGGTGTTGTGACTTTGCATCGCGTCATCATCATTGAATCAACTTGAATCTCTATCGATTAGAGTTTTTGAAAACTTTTTTCTTTTTTTTTCCCTGTGTCCTTCTGCTTTTGGAGTCACGTACTCTTCGCAACCTTGTGTTAAGTTGTCAACTGTTTTCTCCTCTTCTTTTTGTTTGTTTTTCGTTTTGCACTTTCATCATTTCATGTTTCCTTGCACTGTTTGTTTGTTTGTTTGTTTTTGAAATGCGGTGAGTGCCCCTAGGCAATTCATAATTATTTTTATTTTACTCTGTTCGTCTTGATTTGGTTACCGCTGGATTCACAGTTTTGGTCTGTATTTCACCAGTTCATGCGTGGGTGTGTGCCAACTGAGAGGAGCTAGGCCCGTTGTTTTGCTTTTTCTTTGCGTTCAAGTCGGCTGTCATTTCTCAAATTCTCAGAGAGTGTCTTTTTTTCTAACTGTGCACATTCTTTCCCCTTCTTCTTTCTTTGCTTGGCCTTGCTTTGTCTTTGTTTTCTCTGCTTACAGGCATAATCGCGCTAGATACATTGCATCTTGCCACCACGAAACGAGGTACKYCATGAACGGCGYTCTTTTCCTTGGACGAATSTYTCTTCGGATAGAACCCCACATTCCTTGTTGGTGATGGTGGTCCCCTCTCCCCCCCCCCCCCCCCCCCCCCCCCCCCCYCTCTCTCCCCSCTCCTGACCCCAGTTCAAAGTTCAAAAAAAAATGGTAAAACTTCAGGTGATCTTTACTTCGGGCATCTGCGCTCACCCGAAAGACACACACACAAAAAGAGGGGGCTTGAAAAATTGTGGAAATGGAAATCCGTCGTTTGCAGATGGGCACGGGCACGCAGGACCTGGCAGGAGGAGAGTAGACCTTGCGCATAATGAAATGGGAGCGGGTTTTCAGGGTCCCACAGGCTGTTTGTGAGGAGGGTGGCGGGGTCGACTTTATGGTGGGTTAGGTGGTGTTTCATTGGATGGGCACGAGATTTGGAGGGAAAGAAAACGGCCTCAGATTACGGGATGCCCCTCATACCCCCCAGGGTTACTTCATATTCTTCTTGTTTTTTTTTTTTTTTTAAATTCCTTCTGTGTCTATTACATCTTAGAGTCTTACCCCTATTCTCTGAGAGTCAGGTTGTTATTTATATGATTACTGTCTGCTATGTGCAGACTCCAGTCCACTGACCGAATCTGATGGATATCTGTCAGATGCTATCAGTAGACTGTATCCAAGGGATTGGGGGGCTGAGTTTTGCACTTGGGGTTTTTGACCCCTTGTCCATAAAGGAGGGACGGAGTGCCTACCGGGGTAGTCGGTCAGCTTTTCGTTCGTAGTCAACCCCCCCCCCCCCCCCCCCCCCCCCCCCC